GAGAGGAAGGACAGGGTGTGAGAGGGGACATGGGGCTCTTGGGTGAGAGGGGGAGACAGGAGCTGCAGTGTATGAGGACATGGGGCTGCAAGATGAGAGGGGCAGAGGCTGCAAGGTGAGAGGGGGTGGCAGCGGCTGCTTGGTGAGAGGTGAAGAGGGGGGTCCTGGTTGGAGTGCTGGGTGGTGGGACAGAAGCTTCTGGGTTAGAGGGGGAAATAGAGGATGCAGGGTATGAGAGGGGAAGAAAGGGAATGCTGGGCATGAGAGGGGACATGGGGCTGCAAGCTAAAAGGGGAAGACAGGGGTGCTGGGTTGGAGAGGGAGACAGGGAATGCAGAGTATGAGAGGGGATGACAAGGGAAGGCTGGGTGACAGGGGAAACAGTTGTAGCGGAGAGCTGGTATTACACAGCCTATCTCCACTTTGGATCCCAGTGAGGTTCAGGAACAAGCAATTATAAATCCACAGGGCAAAGTATCCAGCAGGCAAAATAACACAGCAGTATCCCAACAGCACTCCCAATGACTGGACGACACACAGTATCAGGAGCAGAACTAAAGATTTATTCAGACAGTGGCCTTTTAAAGCATGCTCCCATGCAAGGGAGGGATTTTCATTCATTAGTACAGTAGCCAATCCTGTTCTGGTAACCTCCCACACATCTCCTCCCCTCAGCCTGCATCATAATCCCCTTATCCAGGACACCAATTCCCCCCATTTCTGGATGTACCCCTAAACCTAGGGGTACCGCTTTAAATTATACATCCCCTGGTAGCCCTGATCTGGGTGAACAACATATCCAAAAATCACCCAGATCAGACCAGGGGTTCAGGAAATTTATGGAGGGAATCAAATGACCGACCGCGCTGGAAAGAGTAGCCGAATTGGGTTCCATGCGATGGGGCCCTGCGGTCGGTCCTGGAACAAGGGAATAGATTACACGAAAGCCTCCAGTTACAGAGACTAGGGAGGGTTCGCCTGAATCCCCTCGTTCGGTTGTTTCTATCTACCGAACGAGGGGCCGTTCGGTAGTTTGGAACCGAATGGACTGAGCTTGTGGAGGTCTCAGCGGTGTTCGCCTAGTCGAGTGTCCGATTTGAGTTCCAGACACTCGACGGCAAAACACCGCTGTTCGGGAGTTTTAAAATGGCCGCCCCCACGTGTTCATTTCCCGAATGGTGGCCACCCCCGAGAACAAAGGACTACTACTCAGCTTGTCAATTACCCGTTCGCAACAATGTTGCAACGGGTAATTGAAGGCACACTTCACACCGGGGAGGTCTCACTGTTCGGTAGTTTCATTCCCTTATTTGTTGGAATGATTCTACCGAACAATCAGATGAATACAATACATTTAACACATATAACTTTGCCATTTACACGAATGCAGTAAAAACCTATGTAATTCTCAGGACAGCCCAGTGCCATCCGCTACAACAGTTAGTGCTGGGTGAGAGGGGGAGACAGGGGATGGAGCATATGAGAGGGGCAGAGGCTGCACAGTAAGAGGGGGCAGGGGCTGCAGGGTAAAGGGAGGGTAGGGGCTGCAATGTAATAGGGAGTCAGGGGCTGCAGTGTGAGAGGAGGGAAAGACGCTGCAGGTTAAGAGGATCACAGGGGCTGCAGAGCTAAGAGGGGGACAAGGGCTGGATGGTAAGAGGGGGGCAGGGATGCAGGGTGAGAAGGGGTCAGGGGCTGCATGGTGAGAAGGGAAGACAGGGGCCAGGGTGTAACAGAGGTAGGGGCAGGGGCTGCTGGGTGAGGAAGGGGGACATGGGGCAAACAAAAACTTACATACTCCCCCATCTTGATCCTTGGCAGGAGAGGATGCTGGGGAGGAATTATTTTCCCTGTTGATCCATTGGGAGAAGCATCTGGTCTACACCTCTTAACAGGTGTAGACCATGTGCACAGGGCCTGCGCTGTGCATCAGTGTGCAGAGTGGTGAGAGAGCTCCCTCTATGGGCCCGAGGCCAGGCAGCACCAGCATGAAATCCTTTCATCTCCCCTGTCAGCCTCGGGCCATGGCCATCGCAGCCCACTGGGCATTTGCCCGGTGGCCAGTCCAGGCCTGGTTCTAGCACTGCCAATAGCATATTCTAAGCTCTGTGTGCATTCTGGGCACTGATTTGGATAGTTTTTCGTTCGTCTTATTTTCTGTTTACTTTTGTGGATAGTTGTTAGTGACTATTCATACCCTGTCATATATCTGGATTACATGATTTTGTAGACACTATGTGTTTGAATAAAAATAGGAATTATGCCTTCATACAAAAATATATTACATGTATCAGATAGATTATTTTATACTTTTGTCAAGGGAAAATATACCCTACAATGACCTTAACTAGATTGAAGTAATTCTGTTCAATCTGCTAATAAATATTATCAACAACATAATAATCATATAGTCTTTTGGCATTTTGCAAGTGGACTGCCCTTGTTCTTGGGATAAGTGTGATATACAAATGTACATGTTCTCTCTGTAAAGGCACAAGTAGCCTTAAATGAAGAGTAGTAAATGAAGGGCACACTATTCGGGGTGATTCACTATACCTAGACACTATAAGCACCAAAACACTTTTACGTTAATGAAGCCATTTTTTGTGTATAGATCATGCCCCTGCAGACGTACTGCTCAATTCTATGGCATTTAGAAATTAAGTCAGTTTGTTTATATAGCCCTAGTCACACCTCCCTGCATGTGACTTGCACTGCCTTCCTAAACACTTACTGAAATGGAATCTAGGTGGTTTAGGATCCTTTATTACACAGTGTGTTTAATCTAGAATTTCTTATCTGTGTTCTGTTAATAGCCCTAGACTCTGCAGGAGTGTATGTGAGATTAAATCTCAATTTAAAGTTCAATTTGAAGAAGAGGAGATTATAACTTTTTAAGCACCTTATTGACTTAATTAATAAAGTTGTTATGGTGGCCAGACTGTCCCTTAATAAAAAAAAATGAAGTGCTTGGCAACTATTTGCCTTTTGTGTTCCTTTGAGCAGAGACGTTTAAGTAGGTGAGGGTGTACGGAATGGTTTAAATGAGATGGTGGGGTTTTATTTAAATTTACATCTACCGTGAGCAGAGGAAAACTTATGAGGTTTTTTTTGTGTAGATATCTTTTTTGAGGGTGTAGTAATAATTTTTTAATAGTAACTTTATTTGACATCAGCTTTATGGCTTCTTTTGTATTTATTAACAGCTTTATGACAACTAGTTAGGCAAGCCCATGCATATCATGCCATTCCAGAAGGCCTTTAAGTCAAGCCCAATTCCTTTGAAATGTCATGAGACAGAAAGCAATTAAAGCCTCTACAAGTAGATTATAGTATGTTGGACTTTATTATTTGTATATGTACTCATGGTATGATTAGCATGACTAAGCAGGTACAGAGAGAGAGAGAGTGTGTACACCAGTGCTAGCACTCTTTAATATTTTCTAATAGGTTTATGGCAACTTGCAATGACAATGTATTCCCTTGCCAGAAATTAAAGTGGAGCTTTGATGTAAAAATGATCTGTATATTAGAATTTTTTGAAAGTGGTTTGGAGACCCTCTATGCAGTCATTCCACATGTAACTCTCCACCCGTCCATCTATCCAGCCATGTATTCATTTCACTCCTACTGTAGTGATACATCAATGGAAAATATGTGACAGTACATACACACAGGTTTAGTCACTAACATGTGTCTTATCTGGATATCAAAATTTTATTTCAAATTTTATGCCAACATGAAGACATAACTGACTTGGATATTTTAGTTTTCAATATATTGATATTTTGGACTAAAAATTTAAATTCACTAACATTTCACTTAGAGGGACACTATAGTCACTCAAACAACTTAATCTCAATCAAGTGATCTGTGTGCAGTTTCTCTGCCCTTTAAACCCTACAATGTAAAACAGTGCATTTAGTTTTTTACGAACTGCAATGTTTACATACATTGTACGGTTATGTTCATCTCTAATGGCTGTCAGTATTTAGGCCTACAGCACACTCCCACTGAGGTGGTACTTAGAGTACCGCAAGATGGTGTATATCTTCCCCCTGCATGGACATATGGCGCCGTCAGAACAATCTCAATACTAGCTGGCCAGTTTTGATCGTATCTGTGTACACTTTTGGGTGTCTTGCTGAGAGAAATACTAAAGTCCTTACATGTTCTAAAGGACATGTCAAGCAGGGAGAGAAGGCGTTATGCGGCACTCTATGCCTAGACCAACCTGCACATCTCCAACCTGCACAAAGCAGATCCAAAGCAGGTAGCGGACTAACCCGACACACCATCCTCCTTCCAGGAGTGCTTACCTTCAGCACGGCCGTCTTGCAACTGCTGGATGCTCTTTGAACTTTACATTCATTTTGGCTTGGGCACACCAAATCAGAGGTATAGAGATGCCAGCTTGGAGTCAATGATGGAACTCTGCAGCAACTTCTAAGCTCTTAGCTCTGTATTGCTCAATATGCTGATTATTCCATAGAAAGTACATACTGTTTTTAAATGCCTGGTCTCTCATTTTGGGCATTTGATCTCTTCACATAATGTTGCAGTACTCTGTGGAAAATGTTGGCGCTATACCATTAATTGTAATTGTAACTTGCCGATTCCCACCAGTAATTTCTGGGTCCTAGTCATCGCCTCATAGAGTAGGAGACTTTGTTCCCGGAATATGTCTCCAACTCTGGCCAAGCATTCATCTACGAATGTTTCTATTGTTTATATGCAATCATTTGATGCCTTTTTATTTTCTTCGCTTGCTCAAAGTTCCCTAATTGCTTACCTTTGCTTAGCTTTACAATATAAAGGACACCTATGTCTCTTTTATATGAATCCAATGTGTTTTGCTTTATTTTCTGTATGCCTATCTCTCTCTTGTCTGTTTTGGAATCAAGACTTGACTGACAAAGAAAAACCTATTGTCTAAGAAAGTAAAGAAATAAACCCACTAAGTAATCTAATTTTCTAAGTAAAACACCAACACAATGGTATTAAAATAGTACTACAATGATTTATTTCACATTTACAGTAATAATGGCTGTCTTGTAATGCATAGTATACATTATTATTCATTGGCATCATTGGCATATTCTAAGTACTGAATAATGCTGAGTTAGACCTTTCCTAAAAGAACATTTAACAAACAAAACGAAAAGGAACCATACAAAATATATACAAAGTTTAAGAATAAGAACCATTACATTTATTGCAAATCCTTAACTTGCTTTTATTGTATATACATATCAATATATTAAGATGTACATAGTACACAATAGGCTGATTTTAACAACCAGATTCACAACATGATGCAACATATATCCAGAGGGTGTCGGGTTTATTCATTATGACTATAAATCACCAATAACAGATTGCTTAAAATGTTGCGCAATGTTTGTTTTTGGAATAAATTACAAAGTGCATGAATACAATTAATATGTAATAATAATATTTATTCCGTACTTTAGGTACTGAAAGAGTTAACTCTTTATAAAGAGTTAACTCATTATAAAAGGAGTATTAAAAATATATATATTTTCTTAATACCACTAAGTTGGGTTTTTTTTTTTGTTTTTTTATGAGCATTTGCTTTCTTTTGGAAGTTTAATAAAATCAGGTTTGGTCATCTATATTGGTTTACTAAATCTAATGAGTCCAGACAAGTATGGAGGTGTGAAAATTTACAGAGCCTTTACTTCTTTAAGACAGAGTTCTTTAATAATACTGGCAAGTCAATATGCTGGGCTAGGTACATAGTTATTCACACCTTCTCTACAGTATTAGGCTATATACATGGAAGATATGTTTGTGCTATAGTCTAGTTATCAAAGGCAAGGGATTTTTATGAACACAATAAAAATTTAAATTTTTACAGTGCAATATGTTTTTTTTTAATTGTATTTAGTTATTTATTTTTCTTTAAGCTTTATATGAGCACTATATGAACTCTTTCACTTTTAGATACAAATATGGATCTGAGTGACTAAATAAAGATTAAAGTAAGGTTTTTTCCACTTTATAAAACTGTTCAGTTCCTATCTCTCTGGCACCCTGAAATTCAATAAAGGGACACATGCACCAGGCAAAAGTAGACAAAGAGAAAAAAGAGACTTTCTTACAGTCATAAGTATTCCTATCTGTTTCATTGACTAATGACTCAATGTCTGAAAGAACACACCAATTTTCATTGTGGTGGAAAGGTCATTATTTTCAGAAGATGTTATTTAAAGTTCTTTGAATGAAAAGATAGATTCCGTGCAGAAAACAAGTCTCACTACACAGTTTTTTACTGGGATAGCAGTGATCAATGTCTATTTAAAATGTTGTGAGATCCTGAGAATTTGCTTGCTCTTGGTTTGCAGAACTTGTTACTTCATCCGTAAGATCCACAACATTATCATGACATTCAATTTTTTGGGGATTAACGTCTGAACATTCTTCATCCTGCTTGTCTTGGCAACACTTACAGCATTTACATTTTTTACAGCAACAGCAGAGATATCGCCCACAGAACATGGAGCTTACACGCATCCAAGAGTCCCAGGGCTTCATCGAGTGCATCCATTTTGGCAGAAAGTCCCATGTTTTTAGGAAGTTGGGCAGAAATCGAGGACATTTTTTTTGCATAATGCTGACCACAATTGCTACAATAATAACAAACACAATTGGTACAGCAACTCCTACTAGGGCCTGCCATCCTGCAATTGATAAGCCAAATACCATCAATGGCAACAAGAAGAAGCACAAGATTAGATAGACGACAGCAAACCATCTGTATTTGGCAGTCTTGTCACCCAGTCCTTTAGCTAATCGAATAGGAATGCGCATGAAAGGGATGGGATACCAAATAAGGATACCAGATATATTGAAGAAGAAATGACATAACGCAATCTGTAAAGAGAGGGAAATACAAACCCAACATGTAAGTTAAAAACATGGATTACAAAAGTAATTTGTTTCCATAGGCCTCAGAGTTTGCCCTCAGCTAATTTAATTTCAGTTATTTGTTAAAAGTATGTTTGTTTTGAACGATAAGGAATTATGTGAAGAACGTAATAGGAGGGTAAGTGCTAGAAGACATGGGACATAAATGGGTGCAGCTTTGAGAATTGACCTTGTGGCTATCTTACTATATATGCAGCTGGAAATAAACCATCACCTGCTGCAGGCAACATGATGTACACTGCAATTATTACATGGAGTACAGACAGCATTGAGCACAGTCGAAGAAGAAATTATCATAGTGTGTTTTATTAGTGGACAAATGGCTGGAACAAAAGACGAAAGTAAGATGAAAGAGGAAAGACAGGTTAAAATAAAAGATGGCAAAACTGTGGAGTGAACAGAACAAGAAAGGATCGAGCAAATGGCAAGAAATAAATTGTAAAAGACTGATGAGATGAGCATGGGAAGAAACAGGAGAGGATACAAATAAAGCACCGGGTATACGAATGGTAGAGATAAAAGGGAAATTTATAATAGTAGGGAAAAAAAAACATGAAAAAGTTAATTCAATTTATAAAACAGAGATCCACACCTCGCTAACTTTCCGCACTTAGTAATAATTAATGAAGTTCGGAGACTAACAGAGTTATTCACTAAAGTGAGAATTCAAGTGAATTTCAAATTTAAGACCAGAGTAGATGAATTGAAAGCATGGCTGATTTTAAAAAAAATGATGTTTCCATTTGGCTTTTTTAGCCTTGAATTAAAAATTTACTTTAAATCCACCTTCAATTCTCACGTTATTGAATATCCCAGTATTTATTTTTTGTATTGAATAATTTATTGCATTATATTTTGTGATGTGTACAAATCTTAAATAGATCTTAAATAAATTAAAATACTCTGGAACAACATGTGTATTAGTTTCCTTTAATTAAAAAATTGTAAAAATTCTACATAATTTACTGTATACCAACCTGCACAGAATTTTGTAATGTTACACCCGAACTGGCCAGGGCAGCTAGTAGAGCAGTAGTTGTTGTTCCGATATTAGAACCAAGAGTCAATGGATAAGCTCTTTCTATGCTGATAACGCCAATTCCTAAGGGTAAACATAGAACACAATGTTGGAAGATGCTTGTGGAACATACACTTAGCAAGCAGTTCAAAATGAAAAAAAATTTAAACCTACCTATAAGGGGAGTTATGGCAGAGGTAAAAACAGAACTACTTTGAACAATAAATGTCATTCCAGCGCCAACTAACATAGCCAGGTATCCGGTTAACCAGGAGAATGGAAAGGGAAAATCTATGTAGAAAAAGGAAAAAAAGTAAATTTATGTAAATATATTTGTTAATAATAAATCATATGGTAAAGATTAATGTGCAAGCAATCAAAATAAGGTGTAAGAAGAGTTTACATGAATATCAAGATTAAGTTACACTAAGTTACATTAAGTTCTTTTCAAACTTTCCATTGTTAATATTTCAATTTTAATACTGAAATGTCATTAAATCCACCTCTTACTGCACTCACTTCTTAAAGGCACTGTTCTACCTAAACATTCAAAATACCTTTTTTTTATATAAATTATAGATGTTATTCTAAAATTATATAAAAATATCCAAAACGTGGTAAAAAAAAACAATCACTTCAAATGTTATAATAATTACATTTTTATATAGGGTTTATTAATTGTACCCTGTAGTCATGTGACACGCTGAGAGGATACTGATAATTTACAGGCTTTGTTGTTAATACAATTAAAAAAAAAAAACTTTAAAAGAAAATTTTACAGTTGTGCTGAAGAGTGAATACAAATGACAGATCAGATTACGTTTGTTTGCTAAAATTTTTTGCAAGCTCAGATAAATCTTTTAGCTAAACTAATATATAAAGATTTCTTCACTGCCACTACTTTTAAATACGGTCTCGATGGTCAGTATATTGAAATTTCAGAAATGAAATCTGATTGCCTTTGTGGGTATTAGCAAGAAACTCTGTGTTTCTTTCCCTGTCTGTGTAGACTTGTGTGGTCCAGACGTCTGTGTAATTCACACAGGATTATTTCCTTAAAGTGAGAATTCTAAGTGAATTCAAAGAGTGAATTTCAAGTAGCCGAACTAAAAGTAAGAGAATAGTCACAGGAAATAGGTCAATTTCGGGCACTTTGAACTTGAATTTTAAATTCACTTTGATTTCTCAATTTAGTAAATAACCCCTAACTAGTGTTTCTGAAAGATAGCCGAACATTTTTGTAAGTACAAATGGAATCAGACTTTACTGTTACTGTTGGTTCCTCAATTTACTAACAGAAATAGACAACATTACTAATATTTTACATTAACAAGTTGTTGTTACCTGTGTTGAGGATCTTCTTAATGACAACGGATACTTGTCCTTTGAGCATGGAATTCAGAAGCTTGACAATCAGTATGAGACACAAGCACAGGACGAACAGAGACAACGCCAGCAGTATTAGCCCCACAGCCAGATCTGGAAGACTGGTGTTTGCAAATAAGTGCGAACCTATAAAACAGAAAATATGTAAAACATTGAATATATCGATTGCGCTAGAATTAAGGATGATGTGTTTGCATCAGCTCTCTGGCGTGACTGAATCACTGTTAATTATTTCAGCACTGCTGAACTTCCTCACTACAACATTCCCAGCAGTAGGATTCCACATGATCTATTGGATTACTCATACTGCGCAGAAAGGACTTGACAAAAACCTAAGGACATCATCGATGGCCGCTAAGTACCATAACCACTATTGCACTCTGTACTGGTTATGGTGCTCGAAGTGCATTGTATTTTCTGTAGATCTGTTAAATGGAAATTATAGACAATACCCATGCTTCTTCTACATGTAAGCTTTCTTTCAGGAAGATTGTGTCCAAGCTGGGTTCTTTGTGTAGGATACCCTTGGTCTTATAATGGGAATAGATTTAACCCCTTAAGGACCAAACTTCTGGAATAAAAGGGAATCATGACATGTCACACATGTCATGTGTCCTTAAGGGGTTAAACAAATGTGACAGATATTTGGACAGACTGGGTATGTTACCACCTTAATACTTACACTTTATTGGAGCCATGCAGTTGCTGAATGTGCAATTCACATCAACCGACAAACTTTCATTCTTAAAAAAAAATAAAAAAAATACTTTACACAAAGGGTTAACTTAATGAAACAATATAAACATAGTTGGTCTTTTAACCCCTTAAGGACACATGACATAAATATTCCATCATGATTCACTTTTATTCCAGAAGTTGTATCCTTAAGGGGTTAATTAAACCATGTAATTTGGAAACTATATTGTGTATAAAAAAATATAAATCTCGTTTTAATTTGCAGTATTTGGTCTAAATGTAAATCAAATGAAGTGTTTAGTGAATAGAGCTCATTTGTCTTATGTGTATAATTAGATAAGGGTTTATTAAGTGTTTCTCCTTTTAAGGCTTAGCTTGCATTTATTTTAGTGTAATATACTTTTTTCTTTTAACTTATTTGTTATGCCCTTTATTATGAGAGATATGTTGCCCTCAATCTAATATTTTTGAATTCCCTTTTCAGAGGATTTAATAATTCTGGATAAATGTTAAAAATCTTTTTTTTTCAAAATATTAAAGTAAAAAAAAATACCTATTTAAAAAAAAAAATCTAAAATATGGAATAATTTTAAAAGTGTATCCAAAACTATGAAATCATTTGAAAATCCTATCCAAAAATATTAAATCAAGGCCATTATTAGATAGATACCAGTTGCCAATTCAATACATTAACCCCTGAAGGACCAAACTTCTGGAATAAAAGGGAATCATGACATGTCACACGTGTCATGTGTCCTTAAGGGGTTAAAGTACACAACATTAATGTCAACAATTTTATAAAAAGCCAGATGCCAGAGTGAATATTAGCAAAATACCACATGTATAGAAACATTTTCTTGTTACATTTTGTGAACGCTAAATCATCTACGTATAAGCAGGTAACCAGTCTACATGTACAGGTTGCATGTATCTCTGTATCTTACCGTATAGCCACAAACACTCTTAATCAGACTTTTGTTTTGTGCTGCTTCGTTCCCTGCTGCAATATCTTCTATAACCTTTTTATCAAGCTGCAACATACAAAATATCGGGTTACATGTGCATTGGAAAGAGGGATTTTTCAAAGACCAAACGGTAAGTGTGCCACAAAAATAGAAGCGGCACGATTGTCTACACACCTGAATGATTCCTTTAGTGAGAGGCTCTGTGATAACTTTAAGCATGTCCGGGGCATTCTCTCCTGTTTGGATGTTGAATGACGTGACGATAGCATTGGTGAGGTGGTACAAATACCCTGAAGCCACTTCTATAGGCAACAGAACGAGCACAGAAAGCCAGTTGAAAAAATCGTGGACAGTGGCACCAGCAAATGCCCTAAAAAGTTAGTATTTTATTAGCTCAACACGTCATGAAATAACCACACAACAATAAAGCCTATGTATATTTGTGTACTTGGCTGGGCTGTACCTCAACATGAAAATAGCCATTTCTATTGCTCCATTGTCTGAACAGAAGAAAAATACAAATCGGCCCATCTCAGAGATAAAAAAAACAACTTTTATTGAACACAATGTTTAGTTATATGTATTTGGTGGGAATAACATTGTTATTTCGTGTTCACTTTTATAATGCTAAACTGTGCATGCTTCTTTGGGAACTAGCTACATTATTCAACTTTTTATCGGAATATTTAGTATAAATATGTATTCTATATCATAAAAATTTTATAACATGACAGGAGGCTTCATATTTGCGTAAGTCTCTCTTTACTAGAACTCCACAGCAGTACAGAAAAACAACCAATCAGAAAAAAGTTAGGTACTATAAAACTCCACTCCTCATGCATCATTTCCTCTTTCTTTGCTGCTCCGCAGTCAGTACAGGTCAGAGTACCACTGCTTCTTGCTTCTAGTGGGTGGCTTTGGGGTTTTATTGCTTATATTCAGTATTTTAGCCTTATACATGCAGTATTGTTATAATCCTTGTGGGATTTTATTCCTGTATGGTGTATTGTTATAATCCATGTGGGATTTTATTTTTCTAATGCAGTATTGTTATAAACCATGTGGGATTTTATTTTTATAATCGTTGTTATACAGGTCCCAATCACCATTGGATCCGTACATCTTCTCACTCTTAGACAATGACATCTGGATGGGAATCTCAACTCCGGTTTACGTTTCCCATCCCTTTGAATATTTCCGGGACCCACTATTTCCAGAATAGTCGACCACCGTTCCACCACACAAGTTCAGTTTGGGACCCTGATTGGATGTCCTTTTTGGAGTCCTTTCTCTACTGCAGCTGAGGATTACACAGTCCAGTTGGAATATACTGGAATCACTTGGGATAGGGCTAGTTTGCCACACTCTTGCCTGCATAAATGTATTCTCGGATGAGACATCTCACCGGGTAGGCCATCAGGGAACGAAAGATCCTACTTGGTTCTATTACGGAATTGGTGGTGCACTTAGGCACATTCCTTGATATTGAAGATCTGCCTGCAAGCCCACATCGCCTGGTGACCCTGGCACGATCGGTGGAGCAACCTTACACATCAAGAGTTGAGACATGGTGGCAATGTCTTATTGCAGCCCTAAGTCCGCAAATGACCTTCGACATTTTATAACTACAGGGAAATGGCTAATAGGTCAGCTTGGCAGCTCATGGACCGGCTGGTAGGAAACAGGTTGCAACCCCAAGTACAATGGATCTACCTGCAATGGTGTTTTTTTCTGTATTTGGGATGCTTCGTCAACTGGCATCTTCATCGATCCGTCTATTGTCATTTATCGCAGTTGGAAAGTCCATTTAGGATTGCTCGGATAGCTCCCGGAATAGGTACCAGCGAATTTGTTGACTGAGCGTTAAAACAGCAAATACGAAGCCTCCTGTCATGTTATAAAATTGTAGATTATGCTAGCTTTAGTGTACCAATAATCTTAATTTTATTAATGACAGGAGGCAAGTGTTTTCCCACACATTCTTATCCCTCCCTTGTTTAATTTTAATAGTTTGGATTAATCAGGTACGTATGCAACTCTGCTTGTTGTCTCTGCTACCTGTCGCCTGTTCTTATGTCTGTTTTTTCATAAGTAGGGTTGGGATATCTACATATTAAGGTACTTTTGGTTGCAACATTGGGTACCTACATGTTTATTCAGAGTACATTTCATTGGATAATCAACCTGTTCGATTCTGTTTTTCTCTCGTTTCAGTTTACAGTCCATCAACGCCATCTGGTTTGGCAGTTCTTCTCGGATCGTAACATCGTTGTATTCATCGTATCTAGGACTTTGTTTCTTCCCCATTATGTTTTCTGCCTTTTATTCTGTTTTTGTCGCAGCTTGAAAGAGGAAATGTTGCATGTGGAGGGGAGTTTTATAGTACCTAACTTTTTTCTGATTGGTTGTTTTTCTGTGCTACTGTGGCGTTCTAGTAAAGAGAGACTTAAGCAAATACTCGCCTCCTGTCATTAATAAAATTAAGATTATAGGTACACTAAAGCTAGCATAATCTACAATTTTCTTAATTTTATTTTTCATCTTTTTCATGTTCTTTTCAACTCTTGACTTCCACTTACCAGCTGGAGGTTGGACACAATGGACATTAATAATGCATAAGTGTTAAGTCAGCGTTGGTCCATCTGCAGGGACCAACCCCCAATAATTGTGGACAGTCCCTCAATACCCAAAGGAGCCCTGCTTTATATATGCATAAACCCCACCCCCTTTAAAAACATTTATTAAAAAAATGGCAACACAGAGCAACACAGGTTTAAATGTAAACAAAAATGAAAAATAAAGAAAAAAGGACATACCTTCTAAACTCATTGCGATCTCCAGATTGCATTAAAGCTACGATGGTATTTGTGACAGAAGTACCAATGTTGGCTCCCATAATGATCGGAATGGCTGTTCTGACTGTTAAAACTATAAAAAGAGAATAGTATCATATTAATAATTATTTAGTAATATTTTACTATTACTAACATTGAGGAAAATTACACCAAAACACGCCTGAATACATTCACATTTATAAAATGTATTGGACGAATCAATAAAATATCTACAAATATATCATTAGGAATGGACATCACAAATACATGTGCATCAACATGTTCTAAATGGAAATATACTTTTAGTTGAAAGGTCATGTCCTCAGGACTGCAACAAACAAGTGCAGTTGATCTTTAAAGGGACACTGTAGGCGGTAGAACTATTTCCATCTTATTAAATTGTTTATAGTGCCCAGAGTCCCCTGGCACTTTCACTTCATTCAATGTTAAACTACTTTTGAGCAGTTTAACACTGAATCATAGCCTGACCCAGACTGAAGGTCAGCTGACACTCTTAGCCAACCACGACCATCCGTTGGTGGCCATGCTAATGTTTTCACAATAACCAGGCAGCACAGAGAGGATGGGGGGCTGAGGACTTTTGAGGGACAGTGTCAGGGTACTCCAGACACTATAACCACTTTAATGAGATGAAGCAGTTACAGTGTCTACATAGTGCCCCTTTAATTCATTCTGCATGCAATTGTAAGCGCCCTTCACTACCATTTGATAATTCATACTCACAGTTACAGAAATTGAAAACAGATTAACATACCCAAGGAGGGAGCTATTAAAAGCAAGCAAACTACTGATAATATTATCATAGTTAGGAATTCACCTAGTCCCTTTTTTTGTGATCGTTCCTTTCCTTATTCTATGTTGCTATAAAGAGAAGGGTCCTGGCTAAGAAGGGTTTTTATATTTTTCGGTGGTGGGTCTACTTAACTTTTTGTTTCACTGGAGGAGAAGCTTTTTTACTCAGATTTATACCCTCCAAACTAGGATACGTCTGGTAAAACCTGGCATGTCCTATGCAGGGAGTTCATCTCAATGAAATCTCCTGTGTGCCTCATTTTAAAGTTGAAGAATATTCTTCAGTAAATAACTATTTTTCACTGCACAGCTGTGTTTAAAAAATGGTGGGGCTGAATTTTTTCCCAGTCCAGCCCTGGTGAGTACTATCGCTTTATTTACAGCCCATTCACAGTTTGGTAAACTGAGCTATTAACACGTTTTGCCAAGTTGGCCAAGTAAATGTATGTTCAGTTTTAGATGGATATTTGACAGCAAAGTAAAAAAAAAAAAATCTTCATCCTCATGAAATGAAGATGAAGAAGGGAATCTAATTGCTGCAGTGATTTTTGCAAACAACTGAAGTAACCATGTACAGGTAGGTGCATAATGATACTGGACCTCCTTGCACAATAAACAATTAAATGAACATAGGTGGTTATGGTGCTTAGAGTAACCCTTTAATCACCATACTTTTAAATGGTTTTCAGGTGCAGTGTAGCATATAGTGTACAATGTATACATTTATACTTACTTCCAGAGGAAACCATGCTGACCACTATTGAAGTGGAAGTACTGGAGCTTTGTACCAGGACAGTCACCAACACGCCAATAACAAGGCCAGCGACGGGATTGGTCAACACAGAGTGGTTCTTAAAAATGTCGCCTGCGGCTTTTCCTATAGACAGACATTAAAATGATAAGGCTATTTTTTAAGCCAACCAATAAAAATCACAGAGCATCATTCTAAATTAACACTTCTTCCGTAGCATTCAAAACAATCAGAATATATGATATATTTGTTCTAACGAATATATGGCAATGGTCCTAAAGCACACAAAACACTGCCAGGTCACCTGCATCTTTCCAGGTGTGGTGGAACTCGAACGCTTATGACCTAATTCTGACTATGTCTTCGGGATAATTAGTACAATCACAGCTGAAGTGCAGCAGAATGCTTTATCCTCACATAATAAGACTTCCTTGTGTCTGATTTGGGATTCATATCTCTCCAACCCAGTTTTGCTTAATAGCTTGTTTTATTGCTGTGGACCTATAAATAATGAATACACAGTGCAGGCAGATCTAGTTAATCAGCTTGTTTTGCATGTGCAACATGGGTGGTACTCTGTGTGTCAATTCTGTAGTTCCTCTCACACCTATGTTTGTCTCCATTACCTTAGGCGTTCTGAGCCGACCATCTTAAAAGGGGCCAAGAATGTACATGGGGAAAATGTTAATTATTTTAACTGCTAAAAGTTAGAAACCTGGTCAGTTTGAGCGCAACCAGGATGTATACTGGCTAAAAAACATTCAATTTTAGTAGAAGATTTAATATACATTCTCCATATAATTACGCTACGAGATAACATGGCGAAATTCGTAGAATGATTGATTTCTAATTCATCTAGTTCATGACAACGTGTAATATAAATAAAAAAAAACAGCGTAGAATGAATTATTGCTAATATTTGCTCTTTCTTAAAGTCGTCGGTATCAGTAATATAGGCTTCTAGTTTTCTATGGGAACATAGATCACTCACCTCCAACTAACTGGAATGCTGAACTCAAAACATCCAATGAGCAAACAAAGAAATACAGCAACGCAATCAAGAGAATAAGCTTTGTGGTCCCCAGTAACACCGATACTATATGTTGCTTTGTATTCATTTCTGTAAATCAGATGAAAAAAAATAAATACTTTTATTAATTTAATACGTATTACCTGAAATCGTATTGCTGGAGCTCATATCATAGAACAAAATATATCCATGCCGACCAAAATGTTAGCAGCAACGGTGAGTATTTGAAGTACGTAGATATTTCAAGTATTTCCCCTAATATAAAATACATGTATCATCTAATATATTTGAATGGATGATAGATAATGAGACAGGCAGATCAGATAGAACGACCACTGAAATGACAATTTAAATGGAAAAATCTAAATGCATTTTAGTCTTTACCTGACCACTTCATTCCTGTGTCCTTCAATTCTGGCATATCCCATGGATCAAACTCTTTCTCTTCTTCAACTTTTTCATTATACAGGTTAAGGGTAGAGTATGATGGAGGTAAATCTTCGGTGTCGTTACCTGCAGAAAAGTGAGAATGGTAAAGGGGCATTTAAGACACTCACAAATGTAAAGAATGTAAAGACAGTGTGTTTGTTAGGTCACAGTTAGTATACTGTTTTTTTATGTTTTTATTTTTTAATAACTAGTTTTGCTCCATGAGCATCGACTTTCTGTCCTTCCTAACAAATGCCATTATATCCCTATTCCAAAAAAACTATTGCACGTAAGTCAGCCACTAGCTTTTGAGGAAGACAGCTGACAGACGAGCTATAACTAACAGAATCCTCTTCCTGGTTTGGTGATATAAGGTACATGCTGAGCTACCTGTAGTTGTGTAGTACATGTACGGAATTTAAACCTGATTTTTTTTTTTTTTTTTTATAATTTATTTTGTTTATGTTGTTTGTTGATTGTTATTGCGCATACGTTGTTTTAATGCATTTTCTATGAAATATATTAAACATGAATCAGATCAAACCTGGAGTATCCCACTAACTGTGTCAATTTGACTTACTAAAATAAGCAATTCTAGTGATAACAAAAACTAGTCCAAAATAAATACCCACCATTGGAATTTTCTGTGCTCAAACCAGACTGTTTTGAGACAACTGGAAGGCTTGTGACGTCCACGTGGTTCTCCATTTCTGGAAAGGGAGCCATATTCTATAAACAACACAAAAACATAACATTGTTGAAAACAGTGGAAACTGTTTGAAATATCATTTGCACCTTCAGAGGGTATTAGCTCACTGTCGCTATGCACTGCAGAATCTGTTGGCGCTTTATAAATACCAGTAATAAATAAAAAAAAAACAATAAATATGCAGTCTACATGCGCAGTTACAAATATCTCATATAATTTGATTGCATTGACGATCTGCCACAGAGTGGGACATGCTTGTCTCAGACTGCAATGACAGCTCCCTGACATGGCCCATGCTAGCTGGGTGTGGTGTTATATCACTTTCTCCTAATGTTCTAAGGATGTTACGTGAGAAACTGTTTCATTCACTCGACATTAGACAACATCCTGCCCTTAAAAGATTGGCAAACAGTGGGATGGCAAAAAAAAAAAAAAACATCATGGTTATTATATTTGTGTGTGGTACTGAGTGGCATCTGAAATGTGTGTTTCTCTCTGTATTTGTGTCTATCTAGCAGTGTGTCTGAGTGTGCCCATAGAATGAAGCTAAATTGAATTAAAACCTTTTATTGACACTACAAATACTTGTGATGCTGATTCAACAGTAGATCTATCCTTTCTTTGGCAACTTCACCATATTCACATGCATTGTATACTAACAAAGAAAGCCTCTGAAATATATGTAAGCCAATAGCGTGCGTGTCCCGCATTCCCACTGCACATCAGCCATGAAGCAACACAACATTTCTTATTAATTAATAATTACTCATTTCAACACAATTACTCATCTAGTGATTTAGTTCAACTATATTGTCCTAGAATGTAAAATTCACTCTTAATCAACCTCTTTCCCCATAGAGGCGCGTTTCAGACATTGTGATAAACCTGCCATCATCATTAAAGTCTTTCAACATCCCTTACATAGGCGATACTGGACACAGGATAAGGGGAGTTGAGAATAATTTATATTGAGATGTTAAGATGTTAAACTGTTTGGGAGATTGGCTGAATTTATTGCCAAGAGTATTTGATTACCGGTTCTCATCATAAAACATTTTTCTTTCATACTATGCTTGAAGTTATTTTTTGTTTGTTTTATGTTGTATGATCACTAATTATGTTACTATCTTATAGGTTGCTGTTGTTGTTGTTATATTTTTAAGTTATATGTTTTTTTTGTTTTACATTGTATTGAATAATAACATTGAGTTGAACTACAAGAATTTAGGGTCAAAAAGAAAATAGTTGGTACCTCTTTAAATCAAAAGGGTGGGCCTGGTCCCTCCCCAACCAACGTCAGCTCCCCCGTCCGACGTCAGTGGAGCCGAATGTGCATGCGCGTCAAATGCCACACGCGCATTCAAAGTGTCCATAGGAAAGCATTTCTCAATGCTTTCCTATGGACGCTCTGCACGATGGAGGCAAAATGTGCCTCGAGCATCACAGATGCACCTCTCTGAAACTGCTAGGTTTGCATATGCAGGGTTAAAACCTGAAGGACCTGGCACCCAGACCACTTCATTGAGCTGAAGTGGTCTGGGTGACTATAGTGTCCCTTTAATACTGCCATATTATTATTCATATTAATAATAGAAACATAGAAACATAGAATGTGACGGCAGATAAGAACCATTCGGCCCATCTAGTCTGCCCAATTTTCGAAAAAAAAAATTATATTGATTTATAAATTTTTCATCTCATCCCAAATATTATTTGTAATAGCTTGCTTCACAATTATCCCTACAATACATATTGTCTCTTCTTCTCTGATACAATAAACATTTATTGAACATAACATTTACGTTAAATTGCTGACAATTTCCACTTGAATGATCCTGTAAAAGTTAACTTCTTAGATCCAAATTAGAATTTTTTTGTCAAATATTATAAAATTATAAAAAACTATTGCCACCTGCTGGTTTGGGCATCTCGATAAACAGGTGACTGAAAGATCAAGTAGACAAATAAACCTGATATTCAGAAAATGGTTTGACTGGTTAATCTGTAGATAGATTAAATGGAGATAACTGCTTTTTTGACAGCACAATAGGCTAGTTTCAGGTCACGGTGGTACACAAAAAGTGTTATTGACCTAATGCACACAGTTCTTAGCTTGGAATGTTTCTCAGGAACACATATTAGATTATCTGCTAACATACAAAGATAGAGAAAAGGAAATATTGCACTTAGTTGCACTTAGAGTGGATCAATTAACACATTTTCTACTTTTCTTCTTTTATCTAAACATTAACTATTGTCTCGAGACCCATTTTTTATCCCTCTTAACATTTAGCACCTGCTATACTAGAGCAAAATCCAACCACAATTAACTTGAATGTTTATGTTAATGAATTTGTAAATAAGTGTGGGATTGTACTACCTACTTATACAGAGTTTAAATTTAAAGGGACACTATAGTCACCAGAACCACTAGAGCTTAATAAAATGGCTCTGGTGTCTAAAGCATGTCCCTGCAGGCTTTTTAATGTAAACACTGCTACATTGCTGCCTAGTAACACCTCCAGTTGCAGTTACTCAGACGGCTACTAGAGGTGCTTCCTGTTTCAGTGCTGCACAGTGTGCAGCACTGGCGTTCAGTGTCGCCACACTCTGTATGGAAGTGCTTAATGTTCGCCATAGAGATGCATTGATCCAATGCATGTCTATGAGAAGATGCGGATTGGCGCAGTGATGCGTTTTGCTGTGCATGCGCAATAACCTCCCAATGCTTTCCCTTGTGAGCTGAGATGCAGAATATTTCCAAATTCACTTAATTAATCTCACATTTTCATTTCAGATTTCAATCACAATTCAGTGTCTTGTGAAAAAAACCTCATGGGGGTGGAAAACATTGATGCACATTAACCTAGTAACAACCTATAATATGTGATGTCATTGTCACAATAAGTGTCTGCAGGCTCTATGCCAGCATGCAATGGCCGGCTTGTTTAATAGTAGCATCTATATACAGCAAACGTTTCTGGGTTCAACCATTCATCAGTGAGAATGCCCTTCAATGCCCCGAAACGTTGGCTGTACCATCGTATGTCCTTCAAATAAATCACTATCTTAACACTTTGTGCACCCAGCATATTCTAGTAGCTTTTGCTTTAAAAAAAAAAAAAAAAATCTGTATTTTACTCCTTATTAAATGTAATTAAATTTGACTACCCACAAGTGTCATCACATGTTACTACCCATGACGAGTATTATCTTTGTTTAAACTTCCATAACCTGTTGGGTAAGTTATGGGTAATTACTAGTCTGAGACACAAACAAGGCATTCAATGTACAATTATATATATTTATATCTATGCTCAGTGTACATCTGATATGGTAATGGGTCCTGGTAGTATGGTTGGTTCTACATATGTTTTCTTTAATATGGATGGTATTGATTGTCTCTAAGCTTATTAATTCTTTCTAAATATGGATGAAATTGACAAAGCAGCACTAAAACATCCTCTTTGGTGAGCGTTGAGTTAGGCTATTTATTTCCCGGTGGATACTGGGTCCAGGTCATTCTGCTCCAAAAAAAAGGAATTGGGAGATGGTGTCCACACTCTCAAAGGACCATAACCATTACAATAAGCTGTAGGAGTGGTAATGGTGTTTAAAGTTCCCCTTTAAGAAATGATGTGTTTAAGAAAATGTGATGCATCTTCCAGTCCTAGCTGCCTTGATCTTTAAATCACCAATGAATTACTGAACTAATGTTTCTTTTTGAAATATTTGAAAGTGTTAAATCAACTCTTTAACATTACAAATCATGAACATATTTATTATATATATGCAGTTTATTTACTATAACAGTAATTATGGAGAATGAACAAAGGAATGGCAAGTTTAAGGACAGAACAGAAAAAAATGGAAAAAAATCTTTGGCCTTTCTTCAATTCCTTTGTGAATTCTTTATGTGCCATTTTAGTGAATAAGTCCCTTTATTTTTTAACACATAGCAAATGAACAGCGACAAACCATTTTTATTCAGCAAATAAATTAAATACAAAGACTCAAAAGTTTTGCTTAAGCACTGACGTCCCAAATTGCAGGATAGTTATTAAAAGCCTTTTTTTCCCCCCAAAGACACAAGAAGGTTTTTCCACCTTGGAGAAGACCGGCACATGGTTTTTGAATATAGAAAGTAAAGCAGCAAGCTCAAAGCAGACTAAGCTGTTTTTTTTTGTTTTTTTTTTAATTCACAACAGATTCCCTTCACCAGTACTTTAAATACCTTTTTATCCATGATTAGTATAAGTCTAGCTGTACTGGAGACAATTACTGAAAAGCAATGATTGTTAAGAGGTTAAAAATTAAAATTTACCTTCAATTTAATATTCAAATAATTATTTTAAAAACACAGGGGTTTTTCACTAAACCGAAATTCCGAAGTGACTTAGAAAAGAAATTGCATAATGCATAAATAGAAAAACTGGGAGGGGAAATTCTCCTATTAAACATTTTGCTGTTTAGCGAATAAACCCCTTCAAATTCAGGCACATTTACATTTTCTTTGACTAATAGAAGGAGGAATAATTAACAAATGTTCATTAGGGTTAGTCATAGACAATGCAGAAAAAGTACCTATTAAATAGTGAAACCAGGAAATAACAGACTGCCAACAGGATACATACTTGGTATTTATTGCCTTACATTTGGTGATGAAGAACAAAAATCACAGAACCAGTCATCCTTTGTTCTTCAACACCCCAAGCATCACACAACCAGCCGGGATCCTCAGTTAAATACACAGAACTTGCTGCTGTTCATTGCATTAGTAAAGCAGTGAATGCTGGTGTTATTGCAATTATTATAATTTACTATTTCGAACTCACCAGCACACTCGTTTTCCACATTGTACATTAGTAAAGCTTTTCACAAAAGTGAGAATGCAAAGTGAATTTCAAATGTAAGGCCAAAGTAGTCAAACTGAAATCATAGCCATCTTAGAGAATTTTTCCATTTCAGCTATTTTTACCTTGAAATTGAATACTTTGAATTCTCGCGTTCGTGAATAACTCTATGGGGTTCAGTCATACGTCTAGTCATATTTTAACTAGTTCTCACTATTTAGCATATTATATTTAAGATACTAGGCAACTGCCCACATTAAAATTATTCCCGCAGTGTCATTGCCTTCCCTAGTGCAATGGTGGTCCCTCAGGTACTGCTAAGAGTCTTGAGAATATTAGTACATATTGCATTACAAGTGAAGAGTGAGTCACTGCGATTTTTGAAGTCAGACCACCAAGATATATTGGGTTCCTGTAATATGGGTCACTGGTGTAGGGAATAGATGAGAGCGATTGGGTTATACAAGAGCTCTGTGAGTGCAGCAGAGCATCCCTTGTCCAGGCCACGAGAGTCAATCATTAAATTGTCATTGTGCAAAATTGAGAAGGGAACTGGAAATGGGAAAAAAAACTCAAAATCCCCAGTTTTTCAACTAAAGAATTTTAACCTAAATTTGTCATTTGCCTTGTCAAAACTTCCCAATTTCCAACTTAGTGAATACACTCCTGTTTTGGAGTAACACAGAAATGAATGGAGTCAAATATTAAAAAGCACACCTATATAAATCAGAATCCCATGTGCCAGTGAGAGGTGGTCTTTGCACATTTAACACATTCTACTGCACAACAGGAATGTGTAATATGAGAAGCTGGACATCTCAGCCTATTCCCAGACTATCTGCATATTACAACATCATCCTCAGGAGAAAAGTAATCTGTAATCTGCATGCAATGCAAGCATCTATGTGCTGGGAGAAACTGGAGTTTGCTTAATAACTTTCCCACACTGGGTGTGATTGTAAAGACAATTGCTTCATATAATTTAAATACACATATAATTACACTGTAATATAAAATGTAATCACGTTTGGCTGGAAGAATGAACAAATCTATTTGCCCACTTACAATACATTAAAAACAAAAAAGATAATTGTGAAATATAATCAGATCAATCAAGTCAAAAGAAAACACCACAATATTATAATAATAAAGTTACGAAAAAAACAAAAACAGATAAAGTAATTCATTAGTCTCAAGGCAACAGGGACATGAATGCCACACATACAAAGTTGTATACATTTAGTTATTTCTAGCAGTAATACTTGCAATGTAAAGGTTAATGGCAAATGAATAAAGTGTCTATTACTTGTATACATTGTTAAACACTGCTGATAACAATAAATCAATACATGCGAACATGAAAGCATTAAAAAGCTACATTAGAACTAAAACAAAGTGTTTAACAAAGTATTTAACTGATGCTTTTACTGCATGAGATTCAGACTCACCTGCTGATCCTGGTGGAGGGGTGAGCAGAGAGAATGAGGGATGCTGGGAGCTAAACGAGGCTAGGGTACAATATGCCAACTGTGCCCATCTCTTATATAGGATCAGAGTGGAGCTCTGTCACTTAACACTCCCACGTCACACCTGACATCCCTCCCCTACTCCCACAGGTACTGCCTACCTGAACTCGTTCATCCCAATCAGCATTTTCCTACTAGTGATAATTCCTGTTAGATGAACCTTCAGACTTGTTCCTCCTAATCACATTTTATGCTAATTAGCAGCAGGTTGATAGCAGCCTATTTATCTCTGTACTGTTTGCTCATAGATGACACACTAAGAGGGGAAGGGGGGGGGGGGCAGGGGCATAGTGGGTGAGGATCTCTTACTCTTCATTCTTTAACATTGCTAAAACTCTATAGGGAACATTTATCAAGGTAAAAGGTAAATAAAGAGTAATCACCGTGGAAACTGAAGGAATGTCTGCCAACATTTTGTACTTTGCTCCAGAGTAACAGTTTTACCTTATTAAATGTATCTATATGTTTCAATGTTATATAAAGAATCACTGGATTGTGTCACTAATCTCATTAGTGGTTCACTCGAGATAAAAAGAGGCACTGTAATAAATAGTGTAGTATAATGGTACCAACAGAATTTACTGTGTTATATTAAATGAGGGGGTTAGCTAGAACATTTGGCACCTGGGGCGGACCCTGTAAACTGTATATTTAAAAAAGTCCCCTCAAGACCCCATTAGAGACTGCAATGGAGAGGGGTCTCTGGAGGGGGGGTCTCTCTAACACTCTGGCCCCCTTTCACAATATAGTAATATAACATAGCTCTCTCATACCCAGCCCAATCTGGCTCTTCTCACCTTAATTATTGTTGCTGGCTGCTGCGGCCAGCTAACAGGCAGGTTGCCTGCAGCCGTCAGATTGGCATGACTGGCGGGCAGGTCTCTTACGTCCCCCAGCCCCTTTGTGGGTCTGTTTCTCCCCTAACCACTTTGTGTGTCTCTTTGTACCCCTCCATGTGTCTTATTTCTCCCCCCCAGCCCATCCATGTGTCTAATTCACCCCTCCATGTGTTTCATTTACCCCCAGCCCCTCCATGTGTCTCATTTCCTCCCAAGCCCCTCCATGTGTTCCATTTCCCCACTGTTAGTGTCTTATTCAAGCCCAGCCTCTCCATGTGACCCATTTCCCCCCTCCCCAGCTTATCTATTTATCTATGTGTTCCATTCCCCCTTCCCAGGCTCTTCATGTGTCCCATTCCTCTCCCCCCCACTCCAGGTGTCCCATCCTCCCCTGTCCCTCCATGTGTTCCATTCTCCTTCACCAGCCTCTCCATGTGTCCTATTTCCCCCCTGCTTCTCCATCCCCCAGCTTCTCCATTTCCCCCATCTTCTCCATGTGTCCATTTTTCCCTCCCCAGCCTCTCCATATGTCCCATTTGCCCCCTCCCCAGCCTATCCATGTGTTCCCTTGCACTGGCTCAAAGATATGCCGGCCATGGTGGCACTCCTCTAATTAGTGGCACCCAGTAAGGACTGCCCCACCCCCCACCTAGTACGACATTGATTGAAATATTTTTTTTTGGCTTTTTTGTCTTTTATTATTTGTTTCTTTGATTATCCAACATACTTTTTTTTATTATTAGTTTTATCACAAAATACATAAAACACGAATAGATACAAATTTCTTCACAATAGTCTTGCTTTGACACAAATTACATAAAACATACACAACAATCGGCCTGTCAATTAACAATATATTATTATACTATTATTACACAGTACAGGCAATACCCTATGTCTGTCAACTACCTCAACAGATTGTCCTCATCCCAACTCTTACCCGGCTTCCCCTATTACAAACGCAATCCCCAAGCCTCCATCTTAATCACTTTTTACGCCCATACCCTAGGGGGAGGATAAACTGAAATATAGCCATCTTCTATACTAGAGAGGGAGACGGTATATATATATATATATATATATATATATATATATATATATATATATATATATATATATATATATATATATATATATATATATATATATATATGTATAAAAGTAAAAGGATATAAAGAGGACCATAAAGGAAAAAAATAAAAAAAATAAAAAATAAAATAAGAAAATGAACCCAAGGAATGAGGCAAACCCCATGAGATATCTTTGGGTACCTATGCTTTAACAACCACACACATACCGCATTCATTGTTCCAAGGATCTAAAGGGGAGGTGGGCTGATGAGGAGGAGTAACTGTAATGAATTTTATCCAAGGGTCAAACAGTGGTCATCCTAGAGTGCCCATCTATGCTTTGAATCTATAGAAGCCCCTAAGTGTCCATCTTCTCTTTCTAATGTTCTATTTTTCTGCATCACCCTCTCCACTTTGGGAGCTTTCCTCCTTTCCAATTTACAACAATTAGCCATTTCGCTATCGATAGACTCTGAAGGAGAAGAGATTTTAGTTCTTTTGTACGGTGACTAGGTGGAAGGTGGAACAGAGCCAGTTCTGGCATTAAGTTAATGTTTTCACCTGCAATTCGAGATATCCTAAGTTTTACCTCCTTCCAATAGATTTGAATGTAGGGGCAGGACCACCACATGTGCCTTGCTGAGCCAACTTGATTACACCCTCTCCAGCATAATTTATATGTATCATCTTTCTTTATTTTCCAAAGTTTAAGCGGAGTTTCATACCATCTATTTAAGATTTTGAAATACATTTCCCTATATAAAACATGTTTGATTCATTTATCCGTTAAGGTAAAAGCTCCCACCCACACTTCTATGGGCCAGGATTGATTTAATTATTCTTCCCAAAATCTTATACTTAGAGATTTAGTATCCAATTCCCTATCTGTCAAAAGACTAAAACATTTTGACAGCAAATGCTTCTTATTTGTTGAACATATTATTTTATCACAGGCTGTCAGTTGTCTAAACTCCTTTAAATGATGGCTTGACGATGAAATCTTAGATTTCAACTGTTTATATTCCATCCATGAACTAATAGGAACTTTAAAATTAGATTGTATACAATCAAATGAAATAAATTCATTGTTTACATAGAAGTCCCTTAAGTGTCTACAGCCCAATTTCCAAAGCTTCTCAAACAGGGGAGAATTAATCTTTTCCCACAGCCATGAAATAGGAGTAATATGGCTTGGGAATGGGATCAGAGAGTATTTACAGTTCAATTTCAACCAACTTTTAGCAGTATACGAAGTTGTTGATGCTTTACTATGCACTAGGACACAGGATACTTTATCTCGATAGATTATTGAGTTCAGATGTGTTTGTTTAAATAAAGAAGCTTCTATCGACACCCAATTATTATTCTTTTCCTCTTCCTCTCATCTCAGCATATGTGCCAGGAGTGTGGCTTCCTGATATTTCTTAATGTCTGGGTATGCTATCCCTCCACTAGAAATATTTTTAACCATAATTGGTATCTTAATTCGCATTCTTTTATTCTGATGGATAAATACGTCAATCGCCCTCTGCAGCTTACTAAGCAAATAAATGGGACCAGTGGCGTACACATGACCCATGGGGCCCCGGTGCAAAAATTGATCCGTGGCCCCCTCCCCCCCCCCCGCTTACTCGGCGCGGGTCGGGGTCGCAACACATGGTGGCGGGCACCTGGTCGCAGGGGTTGCAGGGCTGCGACCCCACGACCGCGGTATGCACACACACTTAAAGGACCACTACAGACACCCAGATCACATCAGCTCAATGAAGTGGTCTGGGTGCCAGGTGCCTCTAGTTTTAACCCTGCAGCTGAAAACATAGCAGTTTCAGAGAAACAGCTATGTTTCACTGAGGGTTAATCCAGCCTCTGGTGGCTGTCTCATTGACAGCTGCTAGAGGAGCTTCCGCGATTCTCACTGAAAAGCACAGTGAGAAGACACTGAACGTCCATAGGAAAGCATTGAGTAATGCTTTCCTATGGGCGGTTTAAATGCGCGCGCGCGCGTCTTGCCGCGCATGTGCATTTCGGAGCTGAGAGGCGGACACTGGGGAGTCCGACACTGGAGAAAGGTAAATGCTGAAGACACACACACACTCTCACGAACAGACGCATACACACTAGCTAACAGACACACACATTTACTGACAGAGACACACTCAGCGACAGACATACATACACACTCACTTACAAAACATACACTTTCACTACACACACTCACTAACAGACATCAAACACACTCAGTAACAGACACACACAGTAACACACTCACTAGCAGACACACACCCAATAACAGACACATTCATTGACACACACACTAACACACACACATACACTAACACACACAAACACACACACTAACACACACATACACTAACACACACTAACACACACATACACTAACACACACACTAACACACACATACACTAACACACACATACACTAACACACAAACACTTTTTTTTTTCAAATTTAATCCCCCCAGCCTCCTTACCTTTTGGAGTGCTGGGGGGATTCCCTGGGGTCCAGTGGTGCTGGTGGGCTCCTGGGCGGGCAGTCTGGGTGGCCGGTCGGGCGGGCAGGCAGGCAGGCGGGCAGGCGAGCGCGCTGCTTCCTCGCTCCCCTCGCGCTGCTAGGGATGCCGGCGCCGAAGATGACGCCATCGCCCGCATCAGTGCGGTAGCGCGAGCGAAGAGAAGCACGCTAGTCCTGCCCCTCCGCCGGGGTCAGCAGGGCCAGCCTCGGGGGGCCCTGGGGTGGTCGGCTCCTGGGCCCCCCAGGGGAAGAGGCTGGCCCTGTGGCTACATACCGGGTCGCAGGGGCGGCCGGGCCCCCTGGTGGGACGGGGCCGGTCGCAGCCGCGACCCCTGCGACCCTGGTATGTACGCCACTGAATGGGACCCTGCCAGGGTATGCAGTGCATAATATAGGTGATCTTGTAGTAGTAGCAGTAGTATTGTCATCTTAATCCCTGTTATTCGACCAGGCAATATTAAGATTTTTCCATGTAGCCAAGATTTGCATTATATTAGAGTGAACTAATTGATAGTTAACTGTCAGTATTCTTTTCATTTCAACAAACAGTTTTATCCCTAAGTGAGT